AAATGGGGTCCTATTATGCCCTTTTACGAAGTCTTGACTTTGTTTTTGGGGTGTACTAGAATATGCTTTCATGCTTGATTGTTCAAAAAACACATTATTTTTCACATATTTAACATTATTACAGTTCCACTCTCCCTAGTCTGGGCCGAAGGCGCCACTTCCAAAATACAAAATGTGCTGTGATTGGTTTGCTGGTCCAGTGTGCTGTGATTGGCAGCACGTGTTGCGGAAATGTCCCGCCACTTACCATAACCACGAGCTCTAATCAGATGCAAATATAAAGGATGGCGTCAATTTCAAAGTAATTCAAGCCTGCTTCAGAATTAAGAATGTTAACAAACAAGAGGATCGTACAGAACGGATTTCACAGGACGTTTCAGAGTGGTATGTTTTTTTATATTTATAATTTTCTTGTACATTTTAGATGCGACGTTATACACCATTTAATCATAATATTTGTCAGAAAACTATGGTTATATAAACAGTACTGTAATGTCACCGACTACTGCAGCAAGCCTAACTATGTCCCTTTAGAGGCTCCTTAGAACGCGTTATTTATTTTCCGTGCATTTCCAAATTCGGATTTAGGCTCCGGGGCACATCCCTAGCTGAGGGAGTGTAAATGTGAGCTTTTGGGGATGTGTGTGGACATTTATTAAATGTTTTGTCTAATTTAAACATGCTTTTAGTTCCCAATACAAGTGCAGTACTTTCAGTGCAGTACACACAAACATATTTTACCATAATGAAATCCAATCTGCAGAATTCCACTGATTTCCCCGCCACAATTAGTACAGAAATATGGAAAGATAAAAAGTGTACAGATTCTGTGTGGGCCTAGAGGTGAGTAAGCCAGATCTAGTGGCGGCAATATACGCTTAAAACATAAACATGTCTCACATTCACTTGGTTATTATGTAAATAAGTATCACTGCCTAATAAGAAGCAGCTTACAATGCCCAAATAACTTCTGGTCGAAGTGGGGGCGGAGCATATGATATTTAAAGATGGAAAAAAGTAACTTTTTTCTCATTAAAAAGTTTTAGCCCCAAAGAAATGAATAGTACTTAAGAGAAATGTTAACTTACATGAGATTACAGTCATATCATATATTGTACATGGAGCGGGTTGGCTCATGGGAGCATACATTTTGAGATCAGCCTAATATTAATCGGTACTGGACACTTTCGTTAATGAAATAAACATCATAGCTGACTGCAAATACTGACAACCGAATCGGTAACTGAAAATATGTGTGTGATGCTGCACTCACATAACTAGGAGTCAGTATAAGCCTAATACATATTGGCCAACACAAAGTGAACAAATATAATAATGAGCGCACCAAAGCGGCCATTGGCTGTATCTGATTACGTTGTTTGATTATGGTGTTATTCCTCTGCTGGAAAACAGCCCTCCAGGATCATAGTTCAAAAGGTCTGATATAGAATGAGGCTTGAATGGTATTTGAGGATATTTCACCTGTCCCAAAAAAACAAACAATGCAAATACGCCACAATCCCACGACTGGCATTTCCACCTCAGGCTAAAATAAAATAAAATAAAACTGTCAACTGAACCAAGCACTTATTAGCCATCAAAATGGCAGATTTCAAAATACATTTCGAGATAAATGGGAATGACAAGATATACAAAGCATTTATAATTTAACATAATTCTTTTCATAAGATTCAGAATTCCGATTAAGCATTTTTTAACTGATCGTATCGGCTATCCTAAGCCTGATCCTTTATTTTCCGTCAACTGTCACGCAGGTGTCGTGTAGAAGGTGATGGTATGACCTTCAAGTGGGTTTGCCACAGTGTTGCCAAGTCCGTGGTTTTCCCGCAGAATTGGGCTACTTTTTAGGCTCAATCCCATTTCACCCCTTGCCCCTACCCCTTGTTTTCGAGTGTACCCCTTGGCCCTTAAAACATAGTTACAAGGGCCAAGGGGTTGAAATATTCCCCTACGAAATGGAACAACCCTTCATGAACCCGATACATCATGAGTCGTCGACGATGGCTCTGACGTTACGGAAGCGACGAATTTTTACAGGATTTCTCCATGACAACGACTGACAATGGGCGCCGCTGCTCTTACCTCGGAAAGGTAATTTATTATACTATTTCTTAATTTAAATGACTATATTATTATTATAAGAGTAAATAAAGTGCATGGTGGTGTCATCTGGGGTTAAATTTAAATGTTTAACCGTTTGCGAAGCCATCTCGATTCACGATGCATTCTGGGAACTTTCTCGTAGCCCTCCGTTCGGAGTGTGCCTCTGAGAAATCTCCGTTTCGAGGGCTATGTAGCCCTACCCCTCTATCGCAACAAGAATCGGGACACCCCTAGACATGAACCTACCCATGACATTAGGGGTGGGCGATATGGCAAAAATATCATATCACGATTTTTTTCAGGAAAATCACGATTTTATCACGATTCTTTTTTATGTTGGTCTTATTTTGCAAGTGGCTGAGCATTACAGTCAAACTAATGTCCCTATTTAAAAAAAGCCTTTTAGGTAACAAAAATATAAAAGAAAAAAGAATGGCAGACATTTAGGCCAAAGTCTTTTATTATTGGGTGAACTATCTCTTTAAGGACAAGAGGCAGCATATTTACTATTAGGATACTGTCTCTTTAAGACCTGCACGCGACGCGTCTAATATAGACGCATTTGACAGTCAGATTTTCTCGGTTTGCTTTCACTTTAGAGATAACCAACTTTGTTTATGTAAACCTTGTGTGTATTTGACAGTATTAGCGCAAAAGACTTAAAAGATAACTTAGTCCAGTATTCAGGCGCAGCTGTTAGACAGGCCTTTAGTGTCTGTGAGTGTCGCGTGTACGCGCTCAGAAAAGCGCATGTTAGAACAGCGCATCAGCACGTGAATGACATGTTTAACCAGCAAGACTTTAAAGCACATGCAAATAATGAACTTTTGTGAATTGCAGTGTCCAGTCAGTGTAACTCTACCTCTGCGTTAACATGTGATGTGTGAATGCACGTCGGGTTGAGTATGTTGAGATGAAGGCGCCAGAACTGCAACTGATAGAATTCACTGTAGCACGATACTACGATATTTCTTCAAAAGCAGATCGTGGAGACATTTTAATCGTCCACGATCAAAAAGCGTGATATCGCACACCCCTACATGACATGATGGTAGGGGCAAGGCGTGAATTGGGATTGAGCCTAAGTTGTCTTTTTAGTAATCTTTTTTCGCGAGTTGATTTCCACCCCCGTACATACGATTCCAGCGCTCCAAGCCCCCCAAAACACCCCCCAGATGAACAAACTCAGTGGAGAATTCAATTCGGCCTCCCGATGGAGAAAATCGCATTGGGCTCTTTTTGGGCCACTTTTGTTGCAATGACCTGGCAACCCTGGTTTGCCAACCGCCATTAAAAAGAAAAGAAGAAGCTTAAATGTGCGTGACTCGTTAGAACCAAGGGGGTAATCCATCGACCGGAAGTTGAAGCCGGCTGGGTGCCGCCATCTTGTAGCAGAAATGGAAGCTTTAGCGTTAAGTTCTGCCAGGAAGACTCAATTGCTACGTCACTTATTACCTTCTCATCTATCCAATCGTGTCTAATACTTGCGGTATAAAAGACCAGTACTTACACATGTTTGAGTTCGCAGATGCTGACGCTTTCATTCCCCTCCATCCTCCCCACCACCACCAGGATGGTCCCTTCCTATTCCTCACAGGGGGTCGGCTGCGCCCCTGCCTTCGTCTTCAGGCAGGAAATGCAGAGTCCGGACCCTCGGATTGCGAGCTATGGACGGGGCCTACGCCAAAGAGCTTTATTGCTTGCTGGGCAATCAATAAATGTATTTATTGTTACAAGTATTTATTCTCCCGAGTCTTTCTGGTAGAACTTCACTTGCGTTAGCATTTCCATTGACTCCCATTCATTTTGGCATCACTTTGACAGCGAATAACTTTACATCTGAGGCGTTTAAAGACTCCATTTGTCCATTGTTTATTTCAAAAGAAACACGACAATGTATAAAGGGCTCCATTACCTTCTATGTTACATTATGGCCCCGTAGAAACAGTTTTTGTAAAAATAGGCTAACGATTGCGTCATAACCACTCGACTCTCTGTCGCGCTGTACAGAAATTACCGTACAGACAGGAGGAGAAGCTCGCAGACAATCGGGGGGACGTCCCGTCAAGGGAGAAGCCCATAGATAATGAGTCCATAAAAGCAACGGAATACTTACTCCTGCTCACTCACGCCAAATAACTCTTTGCTCAAGTTCCCTGTCTCTGCAAGATTAACGTTGGCAGTTTTCACGCACAGCTACTAGAAGATTAACGTCTGTCAGACAGGTTGCTCACGTCATCAAGCTTAGTTTGAGTCGGTTTGAGTCTGCGCGTCAGGAACGGAAGTGCTCAAAAATCGCTAAAAATGGGCTTCAACTGAGTTCCAATGAGATGGCTCTGTCCACTTCTTATACTGTCTATGGTTAGAACCAGTGATGTCTGTTGTAGTGTGCCACACACGCTGCATGTTTGATGGGTACTTTTGTATCACTCAAAAGTAATTTATTTACGGTTTATTTTTATCTCCAATAAGTCTGTCTGAACCGTTTTGGCCATAATACATTGCAATGGATTGCGTCTTGCTTCGGACTGACATACTGGCATTCTGGCACCGCAAGCTTCATGCTTTCTAACTATATCCATATATTTTTCAATTTCTCTGCTTATTGTACATATAAAATGCAAGAAGTTTATATCAGTAGTCCCATATTCATAATTGACCACACAGTCTATTTAAAAGTTTTACCATTGTAGCAGATGTTTGCATCTACCACGGTCTTATAAACAATGTAGGTCTATAAATATAATTACTGTAACAATTCTTATGTTGGAATTACTCTGTACTGATAGATTGGCAGATACTCAATATTAAATGACTAGGATTGGAGGCACAAAAATCTTGATCGGGAAACATTGTTCTTTTTCAACGAAACTCACCTTCTCTTGATTGAACGCATCCATTCTCTTCATGGCTGTATCCAGAGCGTTCATGGAGTCAAGGAAAGCCTGATCCTGCTCACACAACGGATTACCCAACAAGTCCCCTGAGATCTTCACTCCTGCTTTAGACATTGCTGGAAAACAAACAAAACCAGTTAGCATTTATCCTAAAAACAAAGGAACGGCCACAACAGCAAAAAAACTGTCTGAACAGTGAATTTTCCCCCCATCAGCAGGACTTCATGTCATCTACAAACAGAATAATGTTTATTGGTTTAAAAAGATCAGCAGTCACCATCTGCAAAGGTGGCAAGTACTTAAGAGTGCTAAGTGGTTTTAAACATTCAAACATATGGCAAAATGGGACTCTTGTTTATTAGTACACTAAACCATGAATAACATAATATAATAATGATACTATTATTGTCGTGGGGTTGCAGAAATGCTATAGCATATTATTAATTATTATTATTATGATTATTTTTATGTTTACAAAATGAATGTGCATCATAGCTCTCAAATTTAAAATGGAAGACATCCATAATCATCATACAGGGACCGAAATGAAGAAACTTTCCCCTTCTTTCTTGACTTTGCCCCAATTATCTGAAGTAAATCAAGTCTTTCCTGTGTTTGGGCTGTGGGGTGTCGAGGGGTGGATGTTTTATCTGGCTTCCTGCCTCGTGCGCGTCTGATCTGGATTGACGCTGACGTGCTCATCTGATCAGCATTCTGATTTTAAGCAGCTCTGGCAAAGAAGGCGACGGACTGTAATTGGCGTTGGCACTATTGAGGCATCACTACACGATCAGAGCTCTTTAGTGAATATTCATCATCTCCGTCAACTCTCTAACGACCCCTTCCAACCTGCACGGAACAAAGTTGTGGAGCGGCGCTGGAAATCTTTGTTCTTTTCGTTCTGTTTTGCCTGGCATCTTACAGATTCGAAATATTTCTGACCTGCCGATATGCATGGGAAGCATTTCAATATACTTTTGCTGACTTGTAGACAAAAGGTCCATATCTGTTGATACGTAACATGCACATACACCACTGATGTGCCTCCATGTGGTGAAGGACAGATGAAGCAAGTGCAACTGAGCTGTGTGGCACGCACGTTACTCACTGTAACCTGACAATTGAGTTTCCTTAATAGCACAAAAATGAGAAGAGAGGAAATTATCCTCATGCTTCATTTCCATCTGATTGACATTCAGCTAAATGTGGTTCCTTGTCATAGCTAGGCCTGCACAGAGTTGGAATTCAACAGAAATCTTTGAGTTCTATTAGAATTCTGTGGAAATCGGCATTCACCTCTTGACCTTTACATGGTCATTATTAAATATGTCGACATGTTCCAAGGAATGTTTCAGGTTCAAAACAGGCATTTGTTGCATTATACCTGCCTGATTAATTCAGAAACTCTCAACTTGTTTCCAAAGTATAGCGACGGGGCTTAAACATTAGACAAGTCTGTATGAGACAAGGCCTTGACTATGTAAAGTTTCATTGTCATGACAACATAACTGATAAAACCGGTAAACCTGGTAACTTTCACACAATATGCAGTGATACCAGAAAGGGACCTGTCATAACTGTCTGTAAAGCACCGTTTACTTCACACACACACAAAGTTTTGCCCTGATTTGCAGTCTGGACACGCCGGCGTTAGTTACCGAAAATCTGCAGGCTGGCTCTGACTTTCAGAAATTCATAGTGTGTGATGGGAACAGACTCTGATTATTTAGCTTTAGACTATGATTCCATCCAGTCAGAGGATATCAATCATGTTTGATATTTTGAGCTGATTATAGAACACATATTGATTTCATTTGTCATTAATTGCCTAGCAACAATGTGCACATTTTCATGCGAGTTTCTTGTGTTTGAAATGACTTGAAAGTCTTGAAGTTTGTGATCCTCAGTCGTTAAGCAAGTGTATGACGTCCAGTTTCTCCAGGAGCTAATCTACATAGAAAAATGTGGGGTTTCTTTTTACACAGGGTATCTGAGCGTTTAAAATCAAACTGAAGACTGTTTAAGACCTGCACAAATAAAAATGGTAACACTTTACAATAAGGTTGATTAGTTAACATTAACTAAGAATGAACAATACTTCTTCAGCATTTGTTAATCTTTGTTAATGTTAATGTCAACATTTACTAATACTTTATTAAAATCTTGTTAACATTAGTTAATGCACTGTGAACTAACATGAACAAACAATGAGCAGCTGTATTTGTATTAAGCAACGTTAACAAATACAGTAACAAATGTATTGCTCATGGTTAGTTCATGTTAGTTAATAAATGAACCTTATTGTAAAGTGTCTCAATCTGGGTTTATTGAATCCAAGACATCGCTTTAATAATGCTATCAGTGACCCAAAGTGTAATACTCAGCTACGTAATACATCTTTTAAATGTTTTAATTAATTTTTAATTAATTCTACAAATATCTGTCAATATCAGAGCAGAAAATACAAAAGTGAAATAGACGACGGTTCAGTACAAGTCGTGTTGATGCAAGCTTACATTGACTTTAAAATTGTACACAATGGTAAGATTTCCTTTCTTTATGACCAGTAAAAGCAATTATATCAGAGTGGAGAGGAGTTATATTTAGATAAGTCAACATGAGCAAACAGGGAATCATCACAATCACAAACCTAAATCAGCCTCTGTGCTTTTCTTCATGTCTTTATGCAGCTTCTTTGTCTGTTCTTCCAACCTAAAAAAAAGGGAGGAGGGGTCAATAAAATTAAGAACATTATTTATTTTTTTCATGTTTTTTTCTTCCATTTTTAAGAAAATTCAGCAAGAACACATTGGTCAAAAGTGTGTGTGTGTGTGTGTGTGTGTGTGTGTGTGGCGCCTAGTGAACACTACATTATGGGGACAAAATGTCCCCACAAAGATGGCAAAATCCAGAATGTTTTGTTCCCCATGAGGAAAACAGCTTATAAATCATACTAAATTGTGTTTTTTGAAAATGTAAAAATGCAGCTAGTTCTCTGTGATGGGTAGGTTTGGGGGTAGAGTTAGTGTAAGGGAAGAGAATATACAGTTTGTACAGAATAAAAATCATTAATGTTCATAGAAAGTCCCCATAAAACATGAAAACACAACATGTGTATGTAGATATTTATATTTACACAGTATAGATATATACTAACACATTATATACGTACATACATATATATATTTACATATATGTACACTCACTCAATTATACATACATACATACATATGTGCAGGGCCGTAGCTAGAGGATTCGGGGCCCCCTGAAAAAATATTGATGTGGGCCCCCACCACCCTCCACCAATATCATATACTGTACAATAGATGAACATGGAGGCCCACATATAACAGAAGATGGTGATGTTGTTGTACACCTTTATTTTAAAAGTTAAATGTTTATACAAAAATTACAACTAATAAAAACTAACAAAAAGCAAGAAATTGCTAAATAATAATAAAACCAATTTTTAAAAAGTTATATCCCCCCCCCCCCCCCCCCCCATCAGTCTGTTATAATTCATAAATCAAAAAGTATACATTTAGAAATTGACAAGAATGCAGTCTAATTAAAAAAATAAAAACCATATAGCCTTATTTTTTAATAAAGATAATATGGAACTGGTAATATTATTAAATAAAGCGAATACATTTATTCATCCAAGTGCAGTGTGTTGTATTCGTGTTTTCTCGATGTTTTAAATATCATCAGCCGGCAGGTCAGATGCATATTGCAATGCGTCGTGACTCGTGTAATTTTTTTAAAACTCTAGTTACAATAGTGTAAAAAGACAGGAATTTAGACCACGTAATCATTCGGTCGTTTGTGGCGCGCACCGATAATAAAAAATGACTGTACACGGCAGACTGTAGACGGAAGTTTTCTAATTCCCAGCGAAATAACAATATATAACCGGTCTTTAAGAACGTCTTGATCGACTGGGATACAACCACTCTCCTTGCCTCCCTCTCCGTCTTTTCCTGGCATTTCTGGTACCTGATTTTTGTTTTATTTTCCCCGACATTTTTCAGTCAGTCAGTCTCCTGCTCTTCCACCAAGTTCATCGTTAACTTCAGGCTGCCGCCTCGAATCTGATTGGTTCTGTTCACGAGCTGGGGTGGGACTTACAATTTTATTGGGTCCATCTGATGTTTGTCACTGACTCTGACTGAATAATTAATAAATACTTTAGGTCGGACTAAACCATTTTTATGGAGGTAAGAGAAGCAGATATTTGGAAAAATATTTACCCAAATTCCACGTTTTTGTGGTTTTCATTTAAATCTCAGGCATACAACTAATATAAATATTAGAATTATTCATACAACAGGGGCCTAAATAGTATAACTGCTGGATTTTGTGGGGCCCCCTGGGCAGCAGGGGCCCCTATAATTGTCACCACCTTTCACCCCACTATCGACGGCCCTGCATATGTGCGCACACACTCACACAACCATTCAAAAGTATAATTATTTATTTATTACGAGTGCTTGCCTGTACAAAACTAAGGTGTAACACAATTCTAGGTGGTTGCTAGGGCATTGCTTTGCAGTAGTTAAGGTGTTCTGGCGGAGGCCAGAGTCAAAAAAGCCCACCGTCAAGTCGCAGTGATATTCTAGTTTAAGATGTTCACATCCATTCTCCAACATAAGCCAATGGGGCTTTATAAAGCAAATAAGCAGCACATCTCTCCTTGACAAAAGCACAAATTAAAAAGGCATTTTAGGTATCATTTAGGTGTATCTGCAGCAGAAATGATCACCACTATCTGCTGAAACCATTTCTATCCTTGACTGTCATCCAGGGGCGTAATTTGTGGGGGGGATGGGGGGGATATAACCCCCCCAATATTTAAATCTATGCATTACGACCCCCCCCCCCCCCCCATTATTTATACCATGATCACAATATCAGGAGGCATACCCAAACTTCAACCCCCCCAATGTTCAAACCAAATCTACGCCCTTGCTGTCATCTGATCATATTACAGTATTAAATGCTCATATCATACTTAAACCAGAGATAAAACAACCGGATCTATTTTAATCCGCTCATCTGTGAGTATCCATTCATGTTTCTGTACAGCAGTAACGTTTCCTGAGAGGCAGAAGAGATCATTCACAGGGTCTTTCACAGTGTTGATCCATTCACACCCGCTGGGGGTGTTAACAACTGCAATTACCGCACTATTGCATCCGACTCGCGCTCGCATGAGTGTGTGTTTGCGGCGGTGATGGGGGAGCTGTTCATTATAATCAATTAGATGGAAAATTAGACACGGACTGGGGGACTCCCCTGAGGCACCTCACACTGCACTTATTACAGCAATTAAGCAAACCGGAGAACGGGGGAACGTTTCTGAAATTGTTATTTTTTTTGGCTCTACAAAGAAAATGAAGATGGACTAAAAAATTGTGGGAAAGTATATCACCTTTATATCAGGATGCAGAGTTTTTTTGTTTTTTTTAAACAACAATTGAAGAGATAAAGAGGAGGAGGAGGTGGGAATCACGGTTAACTGGCAAGAAATGAAAAGAAAGACTCTTAACAAGACGAGATAAAGGGGCCATTACAGTAGGTGCTAATAGAGTAGCATTGGCCCAGCTGCTCCAGGCGGCTGTCATGCGAACACGCTAGCAGCACGCCTCCTTCTAACATGTGAATGGCATTTAGAGTTAGCGCAGGTTACAAGCCAACACATTAGCACCAAACCCCCACGTTCTGACGAATGAATACGGGGGGTAGACGGAGGAGAAAAGATAATGCAACGACTACATGCAAGTCATACTGGCACAAAGTGTGAATTTTCATGCCAAAATGTGCCGCTACAAGTTAATAAAGAACGTGAGCCCCTCATTTTACTATAGTAAAGGATATTATAAGGCTCAAACCATTAGGTTTTTAACCTAAAAATAAAAACTCTGTCATTGTTTACTCAGCATCATGTCGTTCTAAACCCATAAGACTTTCGTTCATTTTCAAAAGACAAATGAACATATTTTTAAAGAACCCTGAGTTTTTTGCCAATCAATTAAAAGTCCATCTACCCAAAATTGTAACGCTCCAAAAAGCTAATAAGCACACAGTAAAATGTATCTATATGAATCAATGAATGAACACAAAGAACATGACAAATATGGCTTTGAAAAATTTAGAAAATAGTATTAGGGACTACTTTTATGCATTCGGATGACCGTTTCACCGTTTTTTCTCTTTTTATTGCATGGGTAGGGTAAGATTTAGGGTTGTGGTTAGGTTTTAGCTATAATTACCATATGTCTGCATTTGATTGTATAATTTATTTTATGTTTCACTAATAGCTGTTATTTCGTTTATTGTAATTGTATGGAAAACAGCAAATTAAATAATCTACAAAATTGCACAATCTACAAAATTGCTCCTTTTGTGTTCCATAGAATAAAGATGATCCAGGTTTGGAAAGACATGAGGGTCAGTACATGATGACAGAAAGAATATTTAACTAAATCTGATGAACCAAACATGTTTAATGTAGTGCTCTGGGAAGTGCACCCCCCAAAAAGAGGACCACAAAGGAGTTCCATGAAGACAACGGGCATCACGTTCTCTGGGTGTGTTTTGTTGCGTAATGTGAGGTATTCTGATAGCAATCAAACCAAAGGAGCGGCCCTCTCAGACAAGAGTTCAGGCCCCTACATGTCCGTGCCCACACCACAAGTGCTCGTGTATAAGTGATATATGGTTTGTAACTCTTTGTACTGACTGAGACTCCACCTACACAAACAAAACTAAGGCGACATGGTTAGGTGAGGCGCTAGTAAGCACATACATCTCTACAGACGACCTCCAACCTGATTCAACAAGAAAAGGGATATGATAAGCATGCAAAACAAAGCTGTGAAAAAAGGTTTGCTCCTTAAAACTACTCAATTGCTCCATACTGGGATGAATATCACAAAAATATGTCCAGATCTCATTGCCCCCCCCCACCCACAAATTTATATAATTTATTATAGATACATAGACATTATTTTCATATGAATTAAACACTCAAATTGAGATTACTATAATGTTTCATAAATTTTATATTTTTCCAGTTTTCAATGAAAACATTCAATTCAGTCATTTTTTATGGATATTAAATGTTAATTAAAAAAAATTGTAATACAATGTTTTTATGTTGTTTATTTAATAAATACTTTTAAAAAAAATTACAAATAAAAGTCTAAAGTCTTAAAATAGGCTTCAATTTCTTTACTAAAAATATTTTTCTTTTTTAATTTTGGGATGAAAAATTGAGAGGTTTTGTGAGATTTACCCCTTCACATTAATCAGAATTTATGGATTACATGGTCTATACAGTCTGGCCAGGAAAGTCACTGTAGATACAGGTCTATGCATGAACATACATATGGATTAAGGCTGGAGGCACTTTCGTCAGCCTCTCATTTAGAGCACGGAGAACACTGTAAGCATACTTTCATTGTGTCATACAAGACTCACTTATCTTCTGTCATGATTGGGGAGAAACAAATAATGCATCAGGGTCTCGTCACCAATGTAGCAATCCTTTGGAAAACCTAGACTGGCGCCATGGTTTTGATCAAATCAAAAGGTTTCAGATCCAATGTGGATCTATTTTTAAAATCCACGTACTACTTTTGTTCGTTCTCGTTGGGAAAACATATATTTGAGTGCTTGCTAATGATACTCTGAAACATTCAAAGCTCTGTGGGCAACAGAACACATCGAATAAAAATAAAAACAAAAACAACATCGGACATGTCAACTTACTTTTGGAGCTTCTCATATTCCCGCTCAAAGTCCCTTTCAACCTGTGGAGAACATGTAGAGAGATATGAGAGTGGAACGAGAAGAATGGATAGAAAGATCTCTTTAAAGAAGTGTGTGGGCAAACTAGTGCTCTAGTTTTATACAAGCTCTCTTGGATGTGTAATCACATGGCTGCAGAACCTAAAAGTAAGACAAGAGAATAAAGCCAATAGATGTATGCAAGAAGAAAAAAGTGAGTTGGATATCAGCTTGGGACCTTTTAGCCTAATGGCGAGATCTCTGAAGAACGCCAACGAGATCAAATTAAAAAAAATAATAATAATAAAGAAAACAGAACAAGCTAAATCTTTCATTTGGAAATCAGCAGTTTCAGGAGGTCCTGTAATTATTGCAGTGCCCTTCTGTTGCCACATTAGTTTGTGTCCATGCCACCCTACCGCTGTGTGTAGGGGGTTAATGATGCCATAATTGCAGCAGTAGGGGTTCCTGTCCTGTGGTTCGGTGGGCAAAGTCTGTAAATAAACAATATTTGGGAAGGCAGGCAGTCGGTACCCCGTTTAGAGCCGCGTGTCCGGCCTGTGGCCTGCCCACTCATGGGTGACCATGGAAGTGTGGTGTAACAGGAAACGAGGCGAGTTAGGGAATGAGGTGATGAGGGGAAAAGAAAAAAAAGATGTTGATTGACCTCTCAAAAATGAGGAAGAGATCAGGACGCCCACTTACGGACACACAAGTGTACGGTGTCCACTACAGAGAAGAACTTATGAACTCACAGTTGATCTATTCAAACAATGACTCAAACTCTAACCACAGCTCTGGAGTCAAATGGACTAGAAAACTAGACCTCTACATTTGCGGAAGAAATTGTGAGTGGCACGAGCCTGAGGAAACTGGTCGTCGCGATCCTACAGTGTTGCAGGGTGTTTGCATACTGGCCCGAGTCAAAAGATCACACCCCATAGGGCTGCACGATATTGGAAAAAAATGACATTGCAATATTTTGTTTTTCTGCGATATGAAAACAATTTCATCAGATGAATTGAATAGCTCTATTTTGGAAAGAATTAATCATTCTAGAATGATTGGGGTGATTTTGTAGTGAGTTAATCTGCATAAAAATACTAAACAGATTACAAGCATAGATAAATACAATATAACAAAGATACAAATAAAATAAACAGTGATTTATGTTTTTCAGGTAAGTAATTCATGACAGTATTGAGATGCAGAAACTGAATAATCAAATGTAAAATAACATTGAATAGTCTTCACTGTATTTAATCTTTGTTAAGTTTTGTTGTATTATTACAATACATGACACACAGCAGTGGGAATTGTAGGCTGCTGTCACTTTAAGAGCTAATGCACGGATCCAATGATACACATCCATTTTCTTTCTCAACTGTTTATGTTCACGTGAGCCATAAGCGAGTGCGTTTATGAGGATACTATCCGAGATGGGCATTTTGACATAATTTTGTAATTACTCACCCTCATGTTGTTCCAACCCCGTAAGACTTTCGTTCATCTTAAGATATTTTTGATTAAATCTGAGAGCTGGATCACTCCTCCATCGGCTTCTTAAGGGATCGAAACTTGCCAGCCCAGAAAAGTTATTAAAGACATCGTTAAAATAGTCCGAGTGACTACAGTGGCTCAATCTTAAGTTTATCAAGCGACGAGAATACTTTTTGTGCGCAAAAAACAAAAATAACGACTTTATTCAACTCTTCATTTCCTTTTCTTCACAGCGTTCAAGCGCTTCTAGGTTGTACGTCGCACGCATCACACACATGACCAGCGTCGGCCAATAGTGAGCCTACGTGTGACGTACAACACAGAAGCGCTGCGCTGTTACACTACGTGAACTAACTCGAGGGCCACAGAGAAGGAAATGAAGTGTTGAATAAAGTCGTTATTTTTGTTTGTTTTTTGCGCACAAAAAGTATTCTCGTCGCTTGATAAACTTAAGATTGAGCCACTGTAGTCACTCGGACTATTTTAACGATGTCTTTAATAACTTTTCTGGGCTGGCAAGTTTCGATCCCTTAAGAAGCCGATGGAGGAGTGAGACAGCTCTCAGATTTAATCAACAATATCTTAATTTGTGTTCCGAAGATGAACGAAAGTCTTACGGGGTTGGAACAACATGAGGGTGAGTAATTACTGACAGAGTTTTCATTTTGGGGTGAACTATCCCTTTAAACTTTGCATCTGACCCCCTGAACCACGTGCATTTCAAACCGTGGGCCCTGGTCCGTACACATCACATATCGCACATGGCCATCTCTCATGCAGCCCTACCCTCAAGTCTCCATGATATTCTGGTCTCTAGATATAGCAAACACTATAAAGTGCACTATAAAGATATAAAAAAGAGGAATGATAGGGAAAACACTTCCAGAACCAAAGCTGGAGTTAAAAAAATAAATAGATCAAAGCACAGTTGCGTTATATCCACCTATTTCGCTGTGAATGCAGAAAACACAGTGCTGTAAAAGGTAAAACTATTCGAGCTACAAATCTGTTTTTATTATTAAAACAATACATTAAAATAATATGATAGGAATACCAGTTTACATCTAAAAAGCTCTTTTGTAGAGCTAATAATAACAGTTGACGCCGGAAGCGTTGCACATTCAAGTTACTAATGGCTGTCTGCTCTTGTGTTAAAAATTAAAAAAGGTCCCCCAATATACATTCTACTGACTATAATGACTAAACGTGTCCATTTATTCTACTAACCCTAACCTAATAGTCTACTAATACTTAATGAGTTAGTTGACATGTAGCTGCAAAGTTACTTGTAGTTGAACGACTAAAGTGGAACATCAAAACAAAGTGTAACCTTTGACCCTATTCCATTTTGTTTATGAATCGTTTTACAATTTTAATATACATTAATAGCAAATTATAGGAGGTAAATAGGTAACGCTTCCTTTTACAGTACAGTACTTACGTGTACTTACAGTGTACTTACCTAGAAAGTACTGGCTAATATAAGGTAAGTACATGGGTTAGGGGTAGGTTCAGGGTTAGTACCTAGTTATTACCCAGTAATTATAATTACTATAATAAGTACATAGTAAGTACATGGGTAACAGGACTGTAAAAGGAAGCGTTACCGGTAAATATTGTGTAAAATATTTAATATTATTGTGTATGAGAGTCGTTATTTTTGCAATTCTATTTTGTGGCACAGAAATCACAGAAAACAGCAAACATGGGAAAAAGAACAGAAAAATCCTGTGGATTTCTTACCGTTTTTGAAACGATCTGTTTCCTTGGTTGTCCGATTTTGAATGGAATCCTAGGAAAACAGAAATGCATAATTATAAGGTAGATTACAGCTAAACTCACCTTAATAATAAAGAATACATTTCATTTTTATTTAACATTTATAATATTAAATTCCATCATAGTGTTCTACTCAGTCCACTTTTACATTTCAAAGAAGGCTGATTTTGATGACTAAAAACAAAACCCCTATTTAGGTGGTCATAAGGTCATAGTATTCCATAGACAATTTTGAGGTTCACTATGAAAACCCCAAAGGCAAATCATATCTTCTCATATGGTCCACATAAATCCATCAAAGGCGGATGTGCGTAATTAGAAGTGGCTGTCGCCGCTGCCACAAGTCTTCCTGTGGTCTGCCTTATTACTACATGTGCACTTCTTACACACATGCACTTTCCTGATTTCTGCTACTGCAGACGGACATTCACTCAGAGCCAGTGCAGACTCAGGTGTTCACAGGATGCTGTCACACACACACACACACACGTGGAATCATTGGCAAACACATATGCAACACACATGACTAGCAACCACAGCACACCTTCAAACCTGAACCCTAATAATGAGTCACAGTTCCCCATGGATCGTAAGAGAGTTTATCCTCAGAAATGGCTCCAGTTCCATTGTGACTACTATTTATAATGCCCAAATGTTCTTTCTAAAACTTTAAATTTAATTTAAGTTTAATAAGCCTTCAGAATGACAAAAAACATGATAACAGTTCTCTTTTGATTTTGGGCTGATGAAAGCTATAGATTTGTTGAGAACCACAACCAATTCAGCCAGTCATTAGACCGATTCAAACATGCGAGTTCAAGACTGATCTCTTGACTCATTTAAAAGCATCAGCTCATAACAATCATTCATTCACAACTGGTTGTGCTTCATATTTGTTTTTCTCTGCAACTAGGGAGAATAAAGCATTTGCAAGAAATATCGTCTTTATTATTTTGGGGTGTCCTATCTTACTCTCTCCTCAATTTAAATTCTGCAAGAACAACCTGGCCAGACAAATTGATTCTGCTGTGATACAGCAGATTTGAACATTTAGTCCACGTTAGGGGAATAAATCAGACTTTCATGAACGGTTACTGACTGACAATGAATCTCGTAATCTCATAAAAATATTTTGGGTATACAGTAGAGCTGCATGATTCATGATTCACCGTTTGAAATTAACTTGATGCTTCAAAAAAAGATTGTATCAATTACATTATTACTAGGGATGCAACGATACCGCTTTTTCAAAACCGATCCGATCCGATCCCAAAATTCTGAGTATCGGCCGATACCGATACCAATCCGATACCAGTGCAGTTTTTTTTTTAAATCAAGTAGAATTTCTATAACTCTGTGTGTTGAACTGATAATCACTCTTTTGTGTGTTAAACACAATCTACTTAACACAGACAACTTAATTTTAAAGAAAAACAACAAATCCAAAAAATATATGATCATAATCTGTGACAAAAATGCTATAATAAACTAGATTAGTGGATAATTCAGCAGTGCAATTTAGTCTAGAAAAATCATGAGTGCACAATAATTGTATAAAATCTGAACATTTAGTGAAGAAAATTTAGGGGAACAAATAAGAGACAATAAGTGTAACACTAAATCTGGTCAAACATTACACATTGCTCTTTGTATTGTTGTAAAATACATTCATGAAAAACAAGATAACAAAAATCAAAAAGATAAATTATTATATATAGCCTGTATAGGCTACTATAAAATTGAGACATGTTTTAAATGTATAGCACAGCTGTTTAATGAGGCAGCAACATATGATAGATAGGACAGAACAAGAAAGGCTATTAATAATCTTTCATTGCGCAAAAGTAGTATTATATGATTATGAAAGGATCCAATACAGTGCGGCACACAGCGCTTATGCGCATCGCGAGCGCAGAATGATGCGCTTGAAGCAACACGGAGTCACAGCGCGCAGCGCGTCGAATCCGCATTGAACAGTTCAAAGCACAAAGGAAAGACATATCGATGCGTAGTGTATTATACACAGTATCTATGCAATCGTTTATTGAGCCTTTTCTTTTAACAGTTTTAAATTTCAGTTACTGTGCGCGTGAAGAACAATTATAGTGCTCTCTGACTCTAGGCTACTCTGTTGCGATCTAACAGACGCCCGGTAGAAAGTAACATGATTTAGTTACAGCAATAAAGTCCAGCAATATAAAGTTGTTTTATGCTAAACCATAGACCTTTATCTACAGATCAAGAATAATAATAGTAACATTGAATCATCTTGATCTTGGAGAGTTTCATCGTGTTGCCTGTCGTAACAGAACGCGACGCGCTGTTTGATGCTGAATGGAGAATGACTGACAGCCGCAGCGGAGGGAAAAAGTTTACGAGGTCTTGAATTTAATGACTTAAATATTCATTTTTATCTCACATTATACTATATAATGGCTTCAGAACACTTATAAGATAGTGCACGAAAACTTTATGGTACTTGATAATGTTTTTGTGCCTTTTGTGGGGCTTAACAATAACACAGAATAATACGCACAATATCGGATTTGGATCGGCCTCCTCTGACGGATACCCGATCCGGCAAAAATGGCAGTATCGGAGCCGATACCGATACTGAGTATCGGATCGATGCATCCCTAATTATTACACTAGTAGATGGCAACAAGTGACTGTTAAAAAATGAATAATTCATTCTGATTCATCCAGTAATGAAACAAGGGAAGTCTTTATGAGCGAGTCATTGAATCATTCATTCAGACTAATAAAAAAAATTATATTTCACATTTATTAAAGGAGAGGCTAGCAATAGCGAGCTAGCTTTGAAAGCATAATATCCCACCCTCCCTTCAGAGCATCTCCAAAGTCACGACTCCTGCAAAACACACGAACGCGCACAACAGTGAGCAAACACGAGACGGCGCTAAACTACCTCATGTCTCAAAGCACATAACATTACCATAATTACGAACATAAACAACTTAAAGAGCACTGACCTGAACCACCTGACTGCTGCAGATTCATTTCGGCTTTGATAGGGTTGCCATTGCCAATTTAAACATTCAAGCGCAAGAAGATGCGAAAGAAAACGTGCGCAAGCAGTGAGAAGATTTAGGCTGTGTGCGCAAAGCCGCGTCTCAGAGTCAGACAGCACACAAATATTGCAAAGACTTGCGCTCAAACGGACAAATTCACACCAAAATTGTCAACATGCGCGTCTTGGCGAGTATCCTAGCAGATGTAGTAGGTTATGTCTTAAGTGAACGTAAACAGTCGAGAAAGACAACGCATGTGTATCAGTATCAGTGTACTGGATCTATGCATCATCTCTTAAAGTAACAGCGGCCTAATATTCCTGCTGTCTGTGTTTTCATTGTTAAAGGCAGGAAAGGTGATTTGTTGCAGAAACATTTTTTGTTATGCTGGATGAAAGTCTCTTCACATCCTGATAGCAATCACTAATTTAAGTGGTCTATATGTAATTGTATGTAATTTGGAAGCAACTCTGCATAGTATAATACACCGATGACTAGGGGTGTGACGGGATCTCGTGCCACGAGATCTCGCGAGACTAAATATGACGAGTGAAAAAGCTGTCTCGCGATATCCCCATTAATATTTCACCGCTACACTCACATTCGCCTAAACTATCGTTTTGTTGTTTTTATAAAAAAATAAAAACCATTATAAACTAATGCAAAAGTCTGCTCTGCTCATCCAGCACGAGTTGCCGTTGCAATCAGTGCAGCACGAATCACAGTTCACTGATCGCGTGACGATGGCGGAGGATTCGTTGCGCAACAGACTAAACGTCTGATAAATGTCTTATCTTGTAGAATGCGCGCTCAGCATCGCTGCTCCCTATACGCGCGGTCACGAATTTGTTAGTGAAAGTAAAACACAAGCTCCCTGATGTGCATTGCGCACAAATTAGGCTGCATACATACAATAGTCCGTCTCCCAATACCCATCTCTGGACTGTTTATTTGCGGCTATGGTCTCTGTTGGCACTGCGAATATTGAGAGAGCACTGTAACGTATAAAGGACAACAGGCAAGGGAGGCTCCGTTTCTGAACTTATAATCGGAACGCAAGAACAACTGTAGAGACAAACACACCAGCCTCGTTTCTCTCGGCCTTTTCCGAACTCGCCATATTAACCCTATAACTGCCGGTGCAAAATAAAACAGCAATTTCACAACAATTATGAAGAGTCTGTGTGCTAACTTTGATTATGGTTGCACTTATTGTTTGCACTTAATAAGACTAAGAGAAAACAGTTATTTATTTTTGTTATTTATACGGTTTTTATTTCTCTGTTAAATGTATGTAAAGGAGTTCAGTTAGGAGGTCACACACCTGGAGATCAAATAACTTCAATCAGAAGTTCTGAAAGCTCTTAAAATGTACAGTAAGGTCTGAAGAGACTAATGTGAAATCATACAGGAGAAAAGCCAGTCAATAAAAACCTTTTACAGTGCTTGTATATTGTTTTCTTTCAATGCATTTGATAATTCATACTTATAAAGTAGACCTGAAATGACATGCATTAGAAGATTATTAGTTAAAACATTGAAAAATGCACCGGCATGCTATTTTTCCAGTCATGAATTTTGTCATTGAGGATTTCTGAAAAATTGTGCAAAAATCTCGTCTCGTCTCGTTCTCGTGAACCCAATCTCGTGTCTCGTCTCGTCAGATAAGCGTCTCGTCACACCCCTACCGATGACGTGTGACGTCTGCGTGAGCAGGGTGTGTGGAGGTATGGAAATACATATGTTGAGAGGCAGGTCAGCCAATGATTGGACAAACAATTTATGGTCCTACGCCTTCCACAGACGAAATACACATATAACTACATTTAGATCACTTAACTTTGTGATTGCTATCAGGATGTGAAGAGACTTTCAACCCCAGCATAACAAAAACTCTTTCTGGAACAAATGGAAACTTTCTGGCTTTAAATATTCTATAAAGTATAAAGTGTGATCACGTACTGTTGTTCAGTGTTGGCTT